ACTAAGGGGGGTGTATTGGTTTAGGATTTCGTAGGATTTTAAAAGACTTTTTTTGAGTAAAAAAGTCTATTGGTATTCAATCAGGATTTTATGTCACTTAAAAACAATCCAGTGGTATTCAATCTGGATTTTCAAGATTTTTTAAAGAGTCTATTAAAATCCATTAGTATTCATTTGAGATTTTTTACGACTTAAAAACAATTCATTGGTATTCAAAAATATAAGGATTTTAAAGGATTGTTGTGTGAGAGGGATTTTGAAGGACTTTCTAGTGTTATCTATAAATACCAAATTCATAAAACAATCTCATCTAAACCCATCGGATTTTGAAGGATTGTTTGTCATCTTTTTTTTTCTATGCTCCTGTCTTTTCCATTTTTTCTCTGCTAATAATACTGCACTATTGTTCATTGCTCATATATAATATTGTAGTACTGTTCTCATCGCATTTCCTTATTTTGTAAAACTCCGATATGTAAATGATAGTTTCATTAATTTGCTCTATTTTTTTGTTCGTTCTCTTTAATTGACTTATTTTATTTTATTCTATGTAGTTGAATTTGTCCATTTATATAACACAAAAAAATGCTTGAAATTTTAACTTTTAAGTGGTAATTTTTTTTATAACACACGTCAAAAAAAAGGTGAAAGATGAAATTGATATCATAATCTCTACAATATATATATATATATATATATATATATATATAAGATGAATTTGTTAGGGTTTCTAATTATAATTATTATTATTATTATACTAATATTATATATATTGCATATGTAATTAGGTAAATATTTTTTTGGTAGATTGTGGATTTCCTAATCGACTCCAATTTTTAGCTCCATTTCGAGGTGTAAGATATCATCTACAAGATTTTGCAGGTCAGGGTAATGACCCTGAAATTGAGAAAAAATTGTTCAATCTTCGTCATGCGTCTTTAAGGAATGTGATCGAGAAAATATTTGGTATTTTTAAATCAAGGTTCACAATTTTTAAGTCAGCACCTTCATTTTTATTTAAGACACAAGTAGAACTTGTGTTAGTATGTGCAACACTACTTAACTTTCTACATAAAGAATGTCATTCTGATGAATTTTCAATTGAAGCAGTGGATGAACCTTCATCTTCAACGTTACCAATTAATGAAGATCATACTTTTGAACCTATTATCAAACCTAGGAGCAAGAGCGAAAAGACGCTAATGCTTGAAGGACTAGTATAGCTATGGATATGTGGGTGAATACTATTTAAGAGAATAAGATATTATAGAGAATTATTATTATTATTATTATTTATCTATACATTATTATTTTTTATTATTTTTGTCTTTAACTTTTTTTAAATTTGAATGTATGAAATTTTTTTTGAAATCTTATCAAATGTCAAAAATTCACGAAAATTCTACAAAATCCCACAGAATCCATTAAAATCCTGATTTAAAAGTCTTACAGAATCTATTAAAATTCTGATTTTAAGTATTGTAGAATCGTGTAAAATCTTAAAAGTCATGAAAGGATTTTTTTTAACTAAAAAATTCCTTTAAAATCCTAATCCAATACACCCCCTAAGAATATGTATTATTGATAAAGTAATACACCAAAATACAATTCACAAGTAAGATATATTAGGGGGATGTTATGGTTTGTATTTGTCTAAAAGGGATATATTTTTATCAAGAGGAGTGATATTATGTCTTATTGTTCTTATTGGTTATTTAGAACATTGACACACACATCTCCATAATGGTAAGATATTTACCACTTTGGGTCTAATCCCTCAGTTTTGGATTTAATCATCACCTAAAAGGCCTCTAACCAATAGAGTATGTGTGTGTTTTATAAATCTTTATTTCTCCTCTTGTTCTAGTGATGTGGGATTTGGTTTGCATCCCAACAAAAGGTGATAGACTTTAATGTTGTTTGATTTACACTTGCAGTATACACTACAGTTTGATGTGGAAGAAGAAAGGGAGAAACAAAAGACTACTTACAATTTCTGAAGCCGTGGAAGACCAGAAAAGTTGGATGGAATTGTTCCATTAAGATTGTTCTTTGATAAGTCACTGCACACATCCCCGTAGGTAAAACAAGAAGAGCATATGTAGTCCATATAATATCCATAACGGCAAATATCCATAACGGCAATCCAATGATTGAATGCAAGACCAATAAATTTGTACATTATTTAAGTAATAGAGGTTCTTACATGGTTGTGATATTGTCTGACAGTTTATTGGTCGGAATTGATTCATTCAAATGATTCAAACTGAGGTCACTGGAAGTGGAATATAAACAAACAGAAATTAGTTGAAACAGTTGCAAACAGTCTTAGACCATCTTTTAAACATGTACATGACATCTAAGTTAGATGTACTATTCTCTTGAATCTTGATATACAATCCAAAAAAATCAATGCGTAAACTGATGGAAAGAAAATGAGATAACTAAACTTACAGATAAGAAAGGTGTGGTATCTTACTGAAATCAGGAATTGGTCCTTGTAAGTTGCAGTTCCTAAGACTCCTGATAAAACCAAGTAACCGATAACAACATATAGATGGCCAAACTAATACTCCTAACATTTATCCTCTCGAAACTAAATTTGTTTGAGACAAGAAGTTTTGTTAATTAAGTAGAGTAAAGTGGAAAATACTAGGATTGATAATGTGGTATCCTCCAAAGTACAAATAAAGAAAAAAATAAAATAGAGGAAATAATAAAAAAATTCCAAAACAATTTGGACACCAGGCAAATGCAACTTTAACAGTTAATGTTGACAATAACTGTACACTCATTGAATTTGATGGGATTATTTTTATGGTGTTTGTCTGGGGAGATATTTTATGAGGGTTGTTTTCATAAGGTTATTACACAAGCATATTCTACAATGATGAGATATTGTCCGTTTTGGACCTTAGTCCTCACGATTTTATTTTTGGTCATCACCCAAAAGGCCTCTCGATCATTGAAGTATGTTTGTGCTATATAAATTGTTATTTGTTGTCTTATTTTATCGATGTGAGACTTGTTTGTATTCCAACAGAATTTTCTGAAATACTCATTTGAAGAGAGCAAGAAAACCATGTTATACTAACTGAACCAAACAACCATGTCTGTGTATGGCATTCTTTTCATTGATGTTTTACAAAGGGGCGAACTGTCTAAATATCATTTCCATGAAACAATATTTATAATTGTATTTTTTAAATGTTTTGACCTTTATTTTTAAGCTCCTTGCAATGTTTTCTCCAATTGAAAACTCTATATACGAGAAATCACAAAGGGCTTTATATCTTAAATTGATATTCCACACCATACCCTAAAATATAAGCTGAAGCAGCTCAGTTCCACTCCTTGTAAAGGTAACATACTTGCAAGTTACAAACACGGATCACAAAATGTACTTACAATTTCACCAATCCTGACATGTTGCCATAAGATTCTGGAATGCTATTTCCACTGAAGTTATTGTTATCAAGTTGACTGCAAGAACAAAATCCAAAAATTACTTTTAAAATCTATTTATCAAGCAAGGTGCAAAAAAAATTTATTGATTCAGTTAAAATTATAGAAACAAAAGCATTAATATAAAGAGAAAAATGATCCAAAAGCTCTACAATGACAAAAACAATAACTTTTCAATATCATGATATATGACACACCTTTGGCAAAGCATTCACTTCTTAGTTTTTTAATAATCAACTTTAGAAATTCTCTTCTCGCAATACTTATTTGTAATGGAAACAATAAATGGCCACACTTCACATAGGCTTTTGTTGTTGTAGTCTGCCAACCCACAGCTTTACAGATCTTAATTACATTCCACTTAATTCAATTGCATGATTTAAACTTGTATAAATCCGTAGTTTTCTCTTTTTTTCTTGGATCCAAAGGAGGTCTAAAAACAGGTGTGAGGAGGCCAGAGCCCAGAGGGAGAGGGCAACCTAAAGTGGTGGCTAGGCGATCTAAGTACAAACTGATCCCAGATTCCCCATCTATGTACTTTCTGACTCACTCTCTCTTATCCCCCAACAAACAAAACATATATTGCCACTTTGTTAACACTTTTCAAATTTTCCTTCACCAATTTTTCTTCCTTTTATACATCACCACATCATATTTTATTAATCACACACTGTCCATGCTTCTTTTATTTAACAATCTCTAAGTAAATCAGTTCTCCTTGTGTTGAATTGAAGCACACTTCAGTTAAATAACCAATGGCCAAACTGTTTAAAGATGGCATGGGTGCATCATAACATAAATTTGTTCTAATTTCTAAATATTGCATTTGTTAAAATTTTCCATGGACAAGCATATCTGAAGAATAAATTTAAAACAAAGTAATGAATTCTAATGGTACCTTACGTTTGAAATATGAATATAACTAATTTATTATACAGCCTAATGTGCAAATAAGCTAATTTAATCACATAAGGAAGAATCTCAATATAAGGGAAAAGAAAGGACAGAGGAAACAAAAAACCAACTCAAGTATTTTGATATTTAAGAATAGACCCTCTCATGTCAGCTTTTCACATGACAAATCAAAAGTGAAGAGAGATACACAAAACAATCCTAAATAGGACTCCACAAAAGTGAAGAGAGCCCCAACGGCAGTGGATTCCTATAAAGGTTTATTGTGTTTACCTCTCTCTTCACACCTTATCATGTAAAATCCAAATGAAAAGATCATTTCAGTCAAAATCATTCATGTTATAATAAAGAACGAAAATGTCATAAAAACCTAGAGGAAGAGAAGTGAAATGTCACGAACATGTATAAAGAATACGTGTTCTATTCATCAAAAACAAAATGAAAACTAAATGAGCTTATAGACATGCATATAAGCATATTTAAGACAGAATAATAAATCATACAGTATCATTAAGCTTGGCATCTCAGAGAGCTCGGATGGGAGATATCCTGTTAAGTTATTGCTGTCAAGAAGACTGCATGTCCAAAGGTACCGCTTGTTAACAAAATATAAACATGACAATGAAAGATTAAAAAAAGCCAGAAAAATATGGCAATGACTGCAATCATGTCCCCAATAACTAACTTACAGGTGCATAAGGCTTCCTAATTGGGAAAGCTGTGGTGGGATTTGTCCAGTAAGTGAATTGTTGTTCATGTGACTGCTCCATTGGGGGAAAAGATGAAACATTATTTCTTTCATTTTCATGGTAAGAAAGTCTAAGGTACAGAAATAAAACAATTCAAGTAAAGTAGCAAGAGTGGTAAGGGCATGTTTGGATAAACCATGTAGGAAAGAAAAACGAAATAAGTTTTTCAATTTATTAAAATTAGCTTATTTATAAGTTATTTTGTAAAAGCTCTCTCGAATTAATTTTTTCAAAATCTTAGTTTTAGTTCATGCATAAGCTAATTTTATCTTATAAAAAAACTTATTTAAATTTTCTTTACTATTTTTTTTCTATTAGAAGTGTTTCTGAAGAAATTTATCCAACCAGACTAAATTTTTAGACTTTAGTAATCACCATAAAGAACCTTACAAGTGTTTTGTGCTGTTCAGGTTTGCAAATGATAATGGTATGGGTCCTGTTATTTGGTTCTCGTCAATTTGTATTCTGTCCAACACCGGAAGATGGCCAAGCTCTTCTGGCAGATGACCAATTAGTTTATTTCCATTCAGGAGTCTGCAAAAAAGCAAAAACAATCATGTCAAAATACCAACCGATTATTTAAGCAACCATTTGAATTCCTTTTTCAATCCTACGGAAACAAGTATTTAACTTCAACTTCCTTAGAAAACACATTCTGATTTATTGAGATACAAACAAGTCCCACATTGATAAAATAAGACAAGAAATAATAACTTATATAGCACAAACATACTTCAATGACAAAGAGCCTTTTTGGGCAATGACCAAAAGCGGACAATATCTCATCATTATGGAGTATGTTTGTGTAATAACCTCATAAAATATTCCCTCAGACAAATAACCTCATCATGATTTTATGCATTGATGTGTTTGTTCTTGTACTAATATGTATAAATGACTCGAAAATCAGAATATATCAGGGTGATAAAACTACTAAATATATTCGACCACATGCCTGGTATACTGACCAAGATAGGTAATTCGACTTACAAAAGTTCCAAAGTTTTGATATTACCAATCTCCTTTGGTATACTCCCACTTATGTTATTCCACATAAAGTCCCTTTCAAGAATGCAAATTAAAAGCATTATTAGAGGAAGAAAACAATTGCAAGCTGCTACAGAATGTAAATATTCAAATGAAGCAAATCTGCTATATTCTTGAGCAAAAGTGGAATCTAGCTAGCAATTGCAAAATTGGAAACCGTTCATGTGTAACAGGTTTGCATTAGGAACATCAATGCAGCTACAGCCTTACAATATTTTTAGGTGAGATAAGTTGCCAATCTCTGGTGCCAAAGTTCCAGACAAGTTCAAATTCAGTAGTTGCCTACAGACAAAAATAAAAGGTTCCCAAACAGTCAAAATAAGTATTTAGGGAAAGCAGTTATTTGTAAAAATGCAGTCAGGACTCATCTGAATTTGAAGCTTACTTGTTTATACTACTTGACATTGGATTATTATGCAATGCATTAAGTAGCATTGACTATAATAGTAAATTAAAGATAGTTGATGAACAAGGTAGATAATGTTGGGATTCATCCCAAGTCCCACATCGGTAAAATGAAGGAACATTGGCTAGTTTATAAGTGTCCACCATTCCACATAGTATGAGGCCTTTTGAGAAGGAGCCCAAAAACAAAACCGTGCGGGCTTGGGCCCAAAGCGGACAATATCATACTATGATGGTGGAACAGGTGGACTATCGGGCCCAACAAGTGGTATCAGAGCCAACGGTTCGTCTGGGTTTGATGCGGGAAGACCCTCAGTGTTGTGCCTCGCGATGGAGATTCGAACTTGGTGCCTTGTGTCGAAAGTCTTCCTGATATTGTGGTGTTCAGGCGGCGTGTCCCGTAGAGTTAACGGCGGTACAAGATGGTGACGGATTATCGCTTGAGGGGAGGAGATCACGAGACATGTGGTCCTTGGTCTGAGGGGAGGTTTGTTGGGATTCATCCCAAGTCCCACATCGGTAAAATGAAGGAACATTGGCTAGTTTATAAGTGTCCACCATTCCACATAGTATGAGGCCTTTTGGGAAGGAGCCCAAAAACAAAACCGTGCGGGCTTGGGCCCAAAGCGGACAATATCATACTATGATGGTGGAACAGGTGGACTATCGGGCCCAACAGATAAGTAGTTAGTTAAATAGAGATTATGCTTCAACTTCATGATTTCTGGATTTGTCAACATACAATGAAAAATATCATCATACATCATTCTGTAATAACTTTTCTAATATTAATATAATCAACTTCTGCTTAAGAAAGTTTGGGCTGACAACAACCATTGGAATCTATTTAAACCTTGAAAGATTAAAGGGAGAAAAAAAATAAAAAAGGTACCAAGAATACAGGCAATGTTGCCTATAAAAAAATGTGGAGTGCAAGATTAAAAGTCATACAATTGTAGAACATGCAGGTAGCGATTGTCTAATGTTGTATTGGAGCACATAACCCCTGTCCAGTTAGATGTACATGGGTCTCCACGATCCCAGCTGCTCAAATTTCCATTAATATCAATCAAACTGCTCTTTATGGCTCTCAATGCGTCAACTGCATGTTAATGCAAATATAATGATCACACTATACATAGTACCGAATGAAAACAACATCACATTATAAGCATATTATTTTGACAAAATGAAAACAATATTGCGTATTCCAATTTCTAAGATAAAATAATATTATTTGACTACAATACCCTCATTCCATATAAATGATTAACCACACTTTTGCAGCTAAAAATCTACTTGGTGCATTTATTTCTTGAGGGTATTATTGAAAAAAACATATATTTTTTCTTGATATTCTAGAGTGACATAATTTGAGACAGAAATATTCTAGAGTGACATAATTTGAGACAGAAATATTCCAAAAATAACAAATGAAATAAGACTGGAGGAGTATTATTTTACTAAAGACAAATACAATGTTTTCATATTTTGCTAGATTTATTATTTATTGATAATATATGCATAATTATATGTATAGAAACAAGTCAATATATTGATAAAACCTATTTGGTTCTCATCATATAGACAAAAAATTATTGATACCAAGTTCGATTCCGATAAACATTTGGTAATACATATCTATGAGATCTAACACAAAGAATTCCATAATAGAATAAGAGTCATAAAAAAAGTGCAGCAGCCACTATACCTACTATACCACAGGGGAAGAGGAATATACCTTCTGTGGGGTCAGTGACCTGACCGGCAGCCAATAGGAAATAGCAGCAAAACCACAAGCAGAGAACAACTTCACACCTACAAACCTTTGAAAGATACATCCCAGGAACACAGAACTCACCAAGCCTCTTGATTGTCTCTCCTTAACTGAGAAGGGTTTTACTTTTCTTGCCCTGATAACAACAAAACCGGTTAGAGAAAACCATAACACTTACATGCAATATCATATATATTATTTGTATTGTATTCTCTAATCAGAATTTGAGATCAAATAGCTTCGAAAAATTCTCTGTTTGCACTCAAAACCACCACCCCCATATATGCTTCTAACTCAAAAAACAAAGATAGCTATCAAACTAAAGTAGAATATAAGAATACCCTTTTGAAAAGCAACCTCGTGTATGCATATATATCCAAGTGCAAAATATCCCAGAAAGCTATCAAACCATAAAAGAATACCCTTTTTACTAAAACTTCTAGGAGAAGCGAAAGAATTCCACTTGATGGAAGAACACAACAGAACCCATCCCAAAATGCAAAAAGATTGTATATATAGTAAACTGCAAGCAAATATTATATGAGAGAAGCAACACGTGGGTTAAACTTAAACTTTGTACGCCGAGTAACAAAGAAGATTTATTAGCTAGCATTGAATAAACTTTGTATATAGGAAGTGTGGTAAATGCAAAATTCTGACCAAGTCACCAATGCAACGTGGAATTGCAGGTGTAGTTTAGGAATGATGACTAGGGCCATCACTTTCATGTTTCATCACTGTGGCTAATGTATAATTATCAACGTAGGTGCATGCGTAAATAGCAACATTAAACTAATTATAGGGAGAGAACTTTTCTTCAATGGAGTTAGTCATTTTAACTTGTGGAATCAAACATAAATGGATTCATATTATAATTAATTACATTTATTTATGTAGTAGGTCGTTTTGACTTTCTGAATCAAATGGGAAATGGTTAATAATATAGAATAGGTCGTTTGTTTTAAAATTACTTTTTCAATAGGTATTGTATAAAGATACGTAAATAATTTTATACTTAATTTAAACTGTTTGATGGATGAACTGGACAAGAGCAAAGCAACCACTAAGGCAATAGAAAAAGAGCTTGAATGAGCAAGGGCAACCTCTTCATGAGGACGTGAGAGGGGGACCCACTTATATGCTTGAATTAATGTTCAAACTTCAAAGAATAATTGCTGAATTGTACCTTTTTTCTCTCATATTTCACATTTTTACAATTTTTTTCTCAAACTTTTAAACTTACATATTTTGTCATTTAATTTTTAAAAATTTATGCATTTATCTTGTTATATAATGAGTATTCATATGTCTTTACATTAGTTTGATAATGTGTACTTTATACCTAAATTTATATATTTTTATCATCACTCAAAAGGTATTATACCAATAGAGACTTTATATCTGCTTGTAAATTGATGCTTATTCTCTTGTTATATAATAACTAGACATTAACTAGTGCATTGTACAAGTTAAAAAAAGTGTAAGTTATATTATGAAGAGAATGAATTATATAAATAATTTAATATTATATTAAAATTTGTAAAATATTTATGTGTAAAATATTCACATAAAAAGATTAATTTAATTCAAAAAAAAATAATAATAACATTTTGTTACACATTGTTTAAGACTATTTTGAGTAGAGAAAATTAACACCCTAATAAACATAAGATGCAATATATAAGTGTGTTCAATAACGTTTATGAATAGGTGATAAGAGACGATTAGAAGGGGTCAAGATAGTTGGAGAAGAAATATTTTGTTTCACATTGTGATATGGTTGATGATGTAACCTTTTGCAATACGATTTGAAAATTTGTTTTCTAGCCAATATAGTAAGAACGAAGGGAAGTCTTATGCAAAAATTATAAGACCTTGTTTGCTGTAAGCATTCTTTTTTTCATTTTTATAAAAATTAGAAGGAAAAAATAACGAAAATATGTATGATTACATTTTAGAAAATATTTCTTTTAATAATCAACTAAAATCTAAACTTAGAATAAAGTTGTTTTCAATTTTTGAACGAAAAAAGAAAACACGGTAGCATGTGATATTATTTTATTAATATTTACTTGTTCTTTTCTTTTCAAAATATGTTTCGTTTTTATAGTAGAACAATTTTACTTGTGATTTGGGTGTTCTTGTTGTTCTTGCCCTATTTTTTTTGTAACTTTTTAATTTATATCATGCAAGTTATTTGCATAGATTTTATTTTTGGTTTGTAATGTTATTTTCTCCTTCTTTTTTTTACCATTAATAGATGTAGCACATGAGACACCAGTTTCTCTCTTTTTTCTTCAATTTGAAACATGTTCCACAGATATTTCCTTTTCCAATTTTAGCTTATTCCAATGTGATGTAAAATTAATTTCTTGAGTAGGTCAAATCTGATAAAAAAAGGTTAAAAAAAATAAATCTAAAATATTTACTTCGTCCGATTCTAAAACTAAAAGAATATAAAGTTAATTAAAAGATATGCAATTTTTAATATTAATATATATATATATATATATATATATATATATATTTCAATCATAATCATAAATATTATAATTATAATATGAATATGGAATACAACCATCTATAGTTGTTTTCATTTTGATATTCTTCTATTATTTTTAATTATTTTTTAAGTCAACTATTAAGAAAATACATTATTTTAAAAAGTTTATTAAAAAAATATTTTATAGTTAAACCAAATACGTTTTTAAATATTTTTTTCATTTTCTAAAATTAAATATTGAGAAATTAAACTATTTTCTTAATTTTAAAATTAAAACTAAAAAATACTTTGTAAAATAAAACAATCCTTAATTTTCCTGTATCCAATGTTTAATTCATAAGGTGAATGCTAATAATTAACACTAATCATAAAGATGCGCGTTACAAAAGTTTTAATATAATTATAATGATATTTTATTTGATTCCTTAATTTTAGTTTCTGTGAGTATATTGTGTGAAGAATAATGTACTAATTACATATAGATGATCAGAAATATGAGATAAAGGACGACACATTAGATTATAATTTATATATACATGTTTTTTAAATAGATGTTGTTTATATGATCTTTAACATTATTTTTAACAAATCATGCAAATCTTAAAAACATATATCAAATTATCATCATCACAAATTTGGGAATGTCCTAATTACAAATAGTTCATTAATCTATGCATTCATAACTGGTGAAGGATTTTCACAATTAGAAAATGGACCAAACTTTTTGTAGTAATTTAAGATATTGGGGTTTAGAGATATTATGTAATTTTTTTCCTAGTTCAATTTGTATAAATAACCATACGTAATTATATTGAGCAAATCATGCAAATATGATAAGTTGCAAATGAGATGTTTAACAAAATATTGATTCAAGAAGTGATTTCTAAGCAAGAGAGAGATTGGAGTTAAATGTACTTTCACAACACTTATGTTTTCCAATGAATCTTCTATATGAATTCAAGTTTTTGTATTTCCACATTCATATAGTCACTCAAACTGATTCCTCAAGCTTGAATATATCTAAGGGTTAAACCTTGAAACATGATTTATCAATGATAAAGATTAAATCCTTGCATTAAGAATAAAGATGAAAATGGCTAACAAATCCAAGTCTATTCCAAGCACAAGTCATTGTTAAGTGAAATGATCCAAACCAAGTTTAGAAAATATTTTCCAACAAGATTCAAAACTATAGGTTAAATAATGAGTTATCAAATCGACTTAACACTACAAGAAAAATGTAAATTATCGACGAATAATTTTCGACGGATACAAATCCATTGAAACATTTATATTTCCGACAAATTTTACTGCGATGGAAAAAAATTTAGTAGGAAAAGTTATATTATTAACGAATAATTTCCGAAACGGATACAAATATGTCAAAAAATTTATATTTCTTACGGATATGAATCTATCAAAAAATTTATATTTCCAATGGGAAAAAAATTCATAGGAAAATTTATATTATTAATGAAATATTTCTGAAAATTTTATATTTATTGAAAATGTAATAATTTTTGACAAAAATTGACTATCATATATTAAAAAAGATCAATAAAATTTTAAATGTCTATATATATATATATATAGAGAGAGAGAGAGAGAGGAGGAGGAGGAGGAGTGATCAAATAACTCACAAAGTAACTCTTGGTAAAGTTACTTCGTTCAATAACTTATGGTGTATGTTGAATTTCATCGATCCAATTGTTAAATTAAAAGTTATTAAATTTTACTAATAATTAATATAGAAAAAAATTAATTAGCTTTGGAATAAATTATTTGCTAACAATATAGTTGAAAAATTAATTATTTTAAATTATTTAACTAGAATCTTATTGACAATTTACTATATCATCTTGATAATTTTGTATAATTAATATTTGATTTTAAAACTTGATATAAAAATATTATGATATAATTAGATAAGATTTTAAATTAGTATTTTATTAATTTTTTATAATTAGAAAGTAAAACAAGGATAAATACATTTTTTAAATTTTATATCTTAGATTTAAGATAAATAAATATATTAAGTTAATTAATAATTTATTTAAAATATTCAAATTTAATTTATAAGTATGTAATCAATAAATATTTATAATTTTATAAATTATATTACCATTATAAATTATAAAATTAATATTTTAAAATATATAAATTATTATTTAAACTTTTAAATTTATAATAAATAATTTATATTGTATCATAATATTAATTTTA